TAGACATAATTTATAAACAATGTGAATAAGCTTATTAGAATTATAAACAGTAAGTACAATACAATATGGACTAAGTAAGCTGAGTAACAAGATCCTAAAATAAAGTAAATAGATGCTAACAATTGTTGTAGTGTAATATATAACAAATGAAAATGTGAGTATAATTCTACAAAATCTACAGGAGAAAAAATAAGATTAGAGACTTACAGGTGTGTTCCTCTAGGAGTTTCACTTAGAACTGGAAAGGCAGCGGTAAGGATTGCAGGTATAGGGGGAGTTAACATGTGTTAACTAAGTAAAGGATTGCAGGTATAGGGGGAGTTAACATGTGTTAACTAAGTAAAGATTGAAAAACCCAGGAATGTACAGTACCTAGGAATTTTTGAAGATATGGATGGATACAATGGAAAAATACTATATCTATAAATATTAAATTATAAATATATAAATATACATATAAAATAGAGTTGAGAGATGTGAGAGGTATTTCATGATTCTAGATCAGAGTACAATGTGAATAAACCCAAAATTGGTAAAGAGTAAAATGTAAATATAGAAATAACTTCATTAACATAGATACATTGCAGAGCTAACTTAAAAGTAAAGAGAGGGAAAATAAAAAAATAAAAAATATAGGGTGGTCATACATTGGTGTAGAGTGTAAATGTAAATTTAGAATAAAATAGAAGAGAGATCATACAAAGAAGGAATATTTAGAATAATAAACAATTAAATGAATTAATTAATAAAAATTGAGAGTGGATGAAAATAATAGAATAGAATATTTAAGTTATTTTTCCCTTAGAAGACTTAAAATGTGTCTATATGTAAGAGAAATACAGTTTTTGTCTACTTTATGATTAACGGGATTGTGTTCCATGTAAATGTGGATAGATTCGGAAATGAATCTTTTTTCATGGTTAGTGACCGTGGAAAGGATAGAGGTTTTTTCAAAATCAAATGAGTGGTTGAGTGTTAAAGCATGTTCTGATAGTTTGGAAGCGGAAGGATTCCGGGAAGTTATGGACGTTTTATGTTGGGAAATGCGGGTTTTGAGATAGTTTTTGGTTTCACCAATATAGGAGCTATTGCAATTAGGAGTAGAGCAAGGTATCCGGTAAACTACATTGGATCGGTGTTGTAAGAGTATAGGATCCTTCAAGTTGGTGAAAAGGGAAGAAAGTTTGTTATGGGACTTAAGGCCAAGGCGTAAGTTGGTTGTAGTAGATTTTAGGAATTTTTGTATATTGTCTGAGAGGATAGGGATATAGGGGAGAGATTTGTATATGAAAGGAGTGGTAGATGATTGTGGGGAGTTGGGAGAATGGGAGGCTGTATTGTTTTTGGTTGTATAGCAATTTAAAAGTTTATGTATGGTGTTCAGAGGAAAAACCAACACTTACTGAGATTTACCAAATTATATGAGTTATTGTCTCTACTCATATAAGTCTCTACTCCTGGACTTTCTTATTAAAAAAAAAAATCTTTCGATTTATAATATATGTAGGATTATAATAAAAAATGAAACAATTATATTCGTAAATGTAATGTTTTTTACGTTACATTAAGTTATAGTAACGATACGCACCTAGTAGTTTTCGGTAGTTGAATTATACGAAATGAAATGGATGAATGAGAAAAACTATTAGTGAGTTATTAGTGAATATATATCAAAAAATGTTTATTTAATTATAGAGACCTTGTTATCCAGAATCAAACGATTTCAGAGTTTAGAAATCGAAAGAAACAATATAAACCTTAATTTGGGAACAATACAAAACATGAATTAATAAAAATTGATTATATGATTATAAAATTAATTAATTGATTATATTAGGTGTATAGATTTCTTAATTTACTGTTAATTTTGAAAACTATTTGTGGATGGGGGAATTTAGAAGTTAAAGCTTTTTTGATTTTTTGAGATAGGACCGGGATGTATGGATGGATCTGTATTGGCGAATTGTGGTTTGGATTAATTTTTAATTATGTTTTTATTAGATGATCAGAAAAGGCGTTGAATTTCAGGATCTTGTGCAGTTTGGTCCGATTATTGTTGTTGAATTGCAGGTCGGTTAATGTGCGGTGTATCAGGTTTTCAGCTACACTGATTTTTTGGTGATAAGGGTGTTGAACAAAGATTGCAATATTTCTCAATAAACAAGTTCTATAATAAAAAAAATCTATTTTACTATAAAGTAATTGTTTATAACCTAAATTAGACACTTTTTACTTTCCTACCTATACTAGGTAAGGAAAGTATTGCAATCGGGTCAAATTTCCAACATGTGGTTTTCGACGGATCTATACGTTTCACAGTCCCCTGAGTCCGAAAAACACATTTTTAGCCATTGGTCTGTCTGTCAGTCTGTCTGTCTGTCTGTGCCAAGATTTTCTCGGGAACTACTGAACCGATTTTGTTACTTCTTTTTTTATTTTGTAGGGTTTTGACTACTGATGCCTGTGACAGAAATTCGTTGCTCCATGCGCAATAGCTTGCGCGCAATAAATGAAAAACATCTTTTTATGTAAACTGTAGTGCGAAAACGGCTCTAAAGATTTTGATGAAAATTTTCTATGATGTTCTAATCATTGTCCTTTCAATTTTCGTATTAGACTAAATTCCCAAAAAAAATCAGGAAAAAAAGTTATAAAGAAAAGAAAAATGTTATGGGGCCTAACTCCCTAAGTATATATTATACGATAACATTTATAAAGTTTTATTATAAACTTTTGAAAGGTAATTAAATTACCAACAAAACAAAAAAAAAAAAAAATATCGGAATCGAACCAGTATTAGCGATGACACAGCTTATTCTATTTTTTAACTTATTACTTACCTACCTATACTAGGTAAGGAAAGTATTGCAATCGGGTCAAATTTCCGACACCTGGTTTTCGACTGATCTATACGTTTCACAGCCCCCTGAGTCCGAAAAACACGCCGTTTAGCCTTTCGTTTGAAAGCTAGTGAAATTCCCTAAGCAAATAGTTTTTGATCAGCAATATTAGTGAGTATTGAAATTTTTACACTGATCTACCTTAAGCCGGTTTCATTGATTTAGTTAATCAAATAAATCGCACTCAAACCTTTTGTTTGATCAATTTTCAGGAAAATAAATTTAGTTCAATTCTTTTGTATTTCTTCAAGAACATATGTAAAGATATAAAAACGTTTCTGAAATAGGTAGGAAAGTCGTGTGAGTGGACACACCAGATAAAATTTTTGTTGGCTTAAAAATTACAAAATTTAAATTTTCTGGTTCTCGGTATATAATGTTTACCATGGCAGACCATGGTTTACAGTAATTTTTTATATGTTTTTATGCAATTATATGAAATTAATGTCAACCTAAACTTCATATAATTATCACGAAATTTCCTATTGATTGATATCGAATATAATTCTGTTGTAAATGACTTTTTAGAATCATTAAAAGAAATAAACTTTGAACTCAGAAAACCACCAAATACGAATTTTCATAGCAATCAAAAAATAAATTTTTTTTTCACGAAATCTGAGAGAACATCGATACGTCTTTAGCTATCTAGAAAGAAATTTAGCAGAGATTTAGAGGCACATAAACTACACAAAATGACACCGACAGCGCCTTCGCAGACAAACTACAAATCGAGATAAAAAATAAAAATCTAAAAGGTTTTTGTTTTTTATTCATTATTTAAGGAGAAACCAAATTCCCTACAAAATGAAAAAAAAAATCATCGAAATCGGATTATGTAGTGCAAATATATAGCGTTCTAAACATTTAGTATTAATTCTACTTTAAAGATTTTTTTCTTCATTTCAGTTTTGGATTACTCAAAAACTTTAAATATATTGAAATAATGATTGTTTTCATCAAGTATATTTTAGTTGAATTTTATTTTTTTTTTATCTTTAAAATTTTTTAAGGATATATATATACTCCATGCCTGGGTAATTTAAATGAATTAAAACATGGAATAAATATATAAGGGTAAAATAAAGCTTTTTCCTGGATATTATAAATTTATTAGTAGATTTTCTTATTTAACAGAAAAAGATATAAAAGTATTTCTTAATCTACCCTATTTTCTCTTCTGCTCTTCATTCGAAATTTAAAATTTTGGGCAATGACCCTTTTCTTCCTGAGACAGTATACATTTTATCAATAAGTAGTTATTCTAGCTAATTTCAAAACGTTTGGTTTTGTAAAATTAATTATTATATCTGTAATATTACTATAAATATGGAATTTTATATACTTAATTTTAAATAAAATATTATCTATATATAAGCTATTAGATATTTATCATTTTAAAAATTTACTTGATTATTTTTAATGACAAAAGAAACATTTCTTTTTTTTTTTTCTGGTAATACAGACTGCTAGGTCAAAATTTACCTTCCAGAGAACTAAATTCAAATTATTTAGCCTTCATCAGATATTTAAAGGCAATGTTTAGATGCTTTTTTAAACTTAAGAAAACATATAATATTATAATTATAAATGTAATGAAACTAGAAAGAGTTAACGGGATGGGTATAGATTATTATATTTATAAACTAATAACTTACTAAATAAAATTATTAAACCTTTGCATAGAAACATTACTGAATGGAACATACAAATATAAGATTTGTGCGAAGTATTCGCACGGGTCAGCTAGTAAAAGAATAAAACATGAAATCCATTAATAACAACAATTCTATAAAGGCCCTAACAAAATATGTTACAATATATATGAATGTGATCATTACCGGCCTTAGACATTCGGTGCCTCTGGGCAATGACGTCATCTTCCCCCACTAAAAAAAATAAATTTATTTCTTCAGCTATTTTAAATTATGTAATATTTTTAATTTTATTTCATTCAACACTTCTCTAATACAGCTGCTTTATTGATAGGCTTAAATTAATACGTTTTGTACTTAATTTTTTTTTTTATTCAATACGATATTTTTGGCTCTGATGACATAATGTTATTGTTAAGCTGTGGATTTAAATCAAACGAAAAAAAAAGAGAAAGTAAAATCGATTTTATTTTATTTCTTATCAAAAACCATTTTATTTCATTTTAGCAAGTAATATGTCCTACGTAAAATGAAACATGCTCTTAAAATTAAGATGTAAATTATTTTTTCATCTGGAATATCATATTGAGCAGAAGATGTGGACTGAAGAGGAATGTTGTATACATCTTGTTCTAACCAATTCTTGGCCACATCCATCCTTGCGAAGACTGCAGGATTTCCAGGTCTAGCACATCCTTCGCCCCAGGACACGAGACCCCAGACCACGCCATTGCAGGATAGTGGTCCTCCAGAATCTCCCTGACAGGCGTCTTTCTTTCCTGTTTCTTCCAGAGTACAAAATTGAATTTTTGAGTTTATCATTCCTACTGCAACAAAATATCTTTTATTAGTTGCAAAAAAAAAAAAAAAAAAGAAGTGAGCTAGCTATAAAGCTTATTATATCTTATCGTAGAAGTATGTAGTGTATCTTGATTACCGAACCATAAACTTTTTAAATACTTATGCTCATCGTGGCCTTGATGTTCTAACTGGATTTACAATAATTTTGAGAAACAGAGTTTCAAAGTTACAATTTACTGTAACTTTAAATAGGACCGTAGCTCCTATAACTACTACTGTACAAAATTAAAACTGGAATTAGCCAGCTTCAGATTCCAATCCTTTAACTCCTACCTTTCCTCCCTCTTTGCTCGTGACAATTCACTTTGGAAAACCACAACAAAAATCCTAAACCCTCACTAAATTTCCCACCCTCTCCGACGAGATGACGGCTCCTGGGCAGCATCTGACGAAGATAAAGCCGAGGAGTTCGCTAGGCACCTATCCAATACAATTATTTCTCACCCCGAAATCCCACCCCCTCCCCCACACCATAACAGTAAAGGGATGTCACCTATCCCACTTTCCTCGTCCCCTATAGAAATTCATCCTTCCGAAGTGAAATTTCAATTTCAAACACTAATTCCTCATAAATTTCATAGATATGATATTCTTGCTCCTCAGATTATTCGACAACTTCCACCCGAAGCAGTCATATTCCTTAAATATATCTACAGTTGCATCCTACTTTCCTCTATTATGGAAACAGTCCTCTATTACCCTTTTTACAAACCAAGGGAAACCTCCCAACAGCTTGAAATCCTATAGACCAATTAGGCTATTCCCAATCCTTTCAAAACACTTTGAAATGATCATTTTGCAACGAATCCTACCCCTCATGGAATCCCAAAATCTTCCTTCTGATCAATTTGGTTTTCCAAAATCATTGTCTTGGGTTTGGGGGACGGCATTTGAAAATATTTTCATTCCATATTCAAACTAAAGTTATTTCTAATTGTGAATGCTTTTCTTCGAGGAATAATGGTTTGTCTGATTGAAACAAACATTAAAATGCCCCTTATCAGTTGTAAAACAGTCACTTAATATTACACAGTAAAACTTTTTATTTTATTAAACACTTTATTCAGAAATATTACAATTTGTCACAGTTTAAGGACACTTATAATAGAGTTCAGAGATTGCATTCATACCGTATATACAAAAATATAAATAAATAAAGTAATAACAAAAGAATAAGAAAAAAGAACAAAAGAGTAAAGAAAAAAAAATATATATATATATATACACATAAGTAAATAAAAATAGAAATAAAAGTAAAACAAACACCTTATATAAAACATACCTATATACATTATTTACAATTTGCCAGGTGATCTCCGAACCAATCCTGTCCCCTCCACATGTGGAGGGAAAAGGGAGGCTTAGGAGATCCCTACGCTTCTCCCTCAGCCACTTCACTGGTATTTTAAACCAGCGGAGGATGAGTAAGAGCGCTACAGCCACAGACACTCATGACTTGAGTGGAGAATCTGGCCATTGCTAGAACTCCAAAATATCCATATTTACAAAAGGTCTCGTGGCCACTGCCGCTTTAACCTACGAAGGGGATTGTAGGGATGGGTGGTGCTTGATAGGGATTGTACAACGGGATTTGGGTGATGAGAAAGGTTCTGGTGAAATTTGGAAAATTTGGCTGGGATAAGATCAAGAATAAATGGGATATTAAGGTCATGGTGTAGGGTTTTATTGGTTACATAGAAGGGAGCATTGACTATTGTACGGAGGACTTTAGACTGAAAGGATTGAATGCGTTTGATGTTAGAAAATTTGGCTGTTCCCCATAGTTCTAGTCCGTAAGTCCAGATGGGTTTCAGTATTGTCTTGTAGATCAGTAATTTGTTTTCACCAGAAAGTTTAGATTTTCTATTCAGTAGTCTATATAGCTGGCCATATCGTCTGTTAAGTTCCTGTCTTTTAAGTCTAGTATGTGGATTCCATGTTAGTCGTCTGTCTAAGAGAAAGCCAAGATACCGGACTGTATCTGAGAAAGGAAGCTGGATGGAGTTAAAATAAACTGGTGGGCAGGTATTACGCCGAAGGGTGAAGGTAATGTGTTTACATTTAGATTCGTTTACCTTGATGCGCCATTTCTTACACCAGTGTTCAATCAGGAAGAGGTGCCTTTGTAAGTTTGCGGACGCTGTTTCAGGATCTGAGTTGGAAGAAAGGATAGCAGTGTCATCAGCGAAAGTTGCCAGGAGGGTATCGGGATGGACAGGAATATCAGCGGTAAAGAGAATGTAAAGGATGGGGCCCAAGACGCTGCCTTGAGGAACGCCAGCCTCAATTGAGTAACAGTCGGAGAATTCGGTGCCACAGCGAACTCGGAAGGAGCGGTCGGAAAGATAGGATCGGAGTACTAGGTATAAGGACTGTGGTAGGTGGATTTTAAGCTTGAAGAGTAATCCGGCGTGCCATACCCGGTCAAAAGCTTGCGCTATGTCCAGAAATGCACCCGAGCAATACTGCTTGCTTTCTAGGGTTGAGGATATATGGTCAACAACTCGGAGTCCTTGTTGGACAGTGGAATGTTGGGAACGAAATCCGAATTGATGAGTAGGAAGGTTATAGGATTCAATTATAGGTAGGATTCGTTTCAGTAGGATCTTTTCAAAAATTTTTGAGAGGATTGGGAGTAGGCTAATTGGTCTATAGGATGCTGTATTGTTGGAAGGTTTGCCTGGTTTCAAGAAGAGGACGATGGTGGAATGTTTCCATAAAAGAGGGAAGTGGGTAGTTCGTAGGATGCAATTGTATATATATGTAAGAAATATGATGGCTTTAGATGGAAGTTGTCGAAGGATCTGTGGGGTTAGAAGGTCATATCCAGGAGATTTGCGAGGAGTGATTTTCCGTAAAAGGTATTTGACCTCAGAGGGATTAACAGCTTTAGGTGGTAAGGAGAGTGGGATAGGTATTGAGAGGGATTCTTCTACTTTTACTGTGTGGCTGGGATGGGATTCTGGATGAGGAGCGAAAGTATAGGAAAGGTGTTTGGCAAATTCCTCGGCTTTATCTTCATCAGATGCTGCCCAGGAGCCATCATCTCGTCGAAGAGGGTGGGAAATATGATGGGATTTGAGGATTTTTCTGGTGATATTCCAAAGGGAATTATCATGAGCAGAGAGTGTGGTGAGGTAGGAATTGAATGATTGGGATCTGAAGGTGGCTAATTCTTGTTTTAATTTTTTACAGTGATAATTGTAGGAGTGGCGGTCGGCTGGATGTCTGGTACGTTGCCATAATAATCTGGCACGGCGTTTTATGTGGATTAGGTCAAGGAGGTGTTGAGGTAAATTATGTTTCTTAAGGATTTTTGAGGAGTGATCAGGGGAGGAAGCAGTCCAGACTGCTTCTTGAATTTTGGTAGTGAAGGAATATACTGCATTGTCCAGGTCTTCAGGGGTTTTCAGGGTTACTCTGAGGTCAATTTTATCGGAGAGGATTTGATGAAAGAGTTTCCAGTTAACTGGGCCTCTGATGAAGGACGGAGGAGAGGGTTTAGGAATAGGAGCTAGTGATACTTGGAGTATTAATGGGCTGTGGTCTGAGGAAAGCTCGTCAAGACGGGCAACGGAATGGTTGAGAGCACCTAAACCATTATGGATAAAGAAATCGAGGATATCGGGATTACGGTTAGGATCAGTGGGCCAGTAGGTAGGTGAGTTGGGTGGAAGAAGGGTAAAATTTTGGGAATTGAGTACAGACAGCAATGTTCGACCACGAGAATTCGTGGTTCTTGAACCCCATTGTTGATGCTTGGCGTTTAAGTCTGCACCCAAGATGAAATGATGTCCTAAGGAAATGAGGAAGGAACTAAATTGGATATTGGAGATGGATTGGTTTGGAGGGCAATACGCTGATGCAACGGTAATAGGAAAGGAGAAGGTTTTGATTACGACTGCGGTGGATTGTAGGAAATCGTGTGTAGGCAGTGGGAGTAGGTGATGGGAGAGGGATTGGTGCACAATGACTGCAGTACCGGCATGTGCTCTACCGTCAGGATGGTCGGTACGGTAAGTTATGTATTGTGGTATTTTTAGGAGCTGTTTTTTAGTCAGTCGAGTTTCCGTTATTAGGGCTACATCTACGTTCTTGTCTTGTAGTAAGGCTGTTAGTTCGTGTATGTGATTTCTAACACCATTCGCATTCCAAAGGAGAATGGATATGGGTTTGATGGAAGTCATTTAAGGATTTTTTAAAGGAGGGATAAGGTGAGATACTAGGTTAGTGAGAAGTGATATCAGTGGGGTAACAAGGGATTTAAATTCTGAAAGAAAGGATGTCAATAAGCTGGTTAGATCTGTAGCATTAGGCGGTGGAGGAACATATTGGATTTGATGTTGGTGAGGTTGTTGTTGATTAGGTACATTAGGTGGGATAGGATATTGAGATTGGGGTTGAGTTTGTTCTTGCGGCAGGGCCTCACATTCATTAGTCGGGTCTCTACCCCCAAGTAGCTTGGCAAAAGAAACCTTAGAGTTCACAATTTTAGCGGGTCCTCTTCTTGGTTTAGGTGTATCATCAGGGTCCCTGGGTTTCATATATCTCGCTTTAAGATTTTTATAAATTTGGCAGCCTTTGTAGTTGGCTGGATGGCCTTCCAGGCATAGGGCACAGACTGCTGGTTCTGTAATTGGTTTATTACACTCGCCAGACTTGTGTGTTTTACCGCATTTCACGCAGCGTGGTAAGTGGTGGCAATAAGACTTGGTGTGGCCATATGCTTGGCAATTATGGCACTGGATGAACTCTCTTTTTGGGTACGGTTTTTCGACCTTTACGCTGGTGTAGAAAATTCTATTCACATCGTATATTTTTTCGATCCCAGGCGATGGCTCTAGATCGACGAAAAATAAGGGCAATGGGATTTTATTCTTTACACCTGGTTGTTCTTTATTTCTTTTAATACATTGGTTATCTGACGTATTTTGAACCCTAACGCCGTTAACTCTTCTTTAATCAC